ACGACTGGCGCTGCCGACTTCGGAGTGGTGCTGCTGGAGCTGGAGACCCTGGAGGCGCTGGTGCTGCTGGTCCTGGAGGTGCCGGAGCTGCTGGAGCTGGTCCAGAGTCTGGGGGTGCTGAGCTCGGTGGTGCTGCGTCTCCCCGGCGGGAGCCTCTCTTGCCACAGCAGCTTCGCGAGTGGTACGCTTCCTACTCCCGCCCTCAGAGTGGTCCTGATGCTACCGGTGGTGACGGAGGTTCAAGAGGTACTCGTGCTGCGGGTACTGGAGCTGCCGGGACTGGTGGTGGTGCTGCTGCTGCTGGAGGAGGTGCTGGTGCTGCTGGAGGTTCTGGAGGTGCTAGAGCTGCTGGTTCTGGGGGTGCTCGTCCTTCGAGTACTAGAGCTTCCGGGACTGGTGGTACTGCTGCGACTGGAGGTCCTGGAGGTGCTCGTACTGCGGGTACTGGAGCTGGGGCTGGAGGTGCTGGAGTTGCTGGAGGTACTGGAGCTGCTGGAGGAGCTGGTGTTACTGTGGCTGCTGGGGCTGCTGGAGCTGCTGGAGCTACTGGAGGTGCTGACTCTGGGGGTGCTGGAGCTGTCGGTGCTGGTGCTGGAGGCGCTGTGCGGCAGCGACCGTACTACGTTCCGCTTCTCCGCCAGGTTCTTGGTCTCCTGTCTTCCCCTGACCAGTCGCCGCTGGAGCTGCCGCCGTCTTCTCCTCCCGCTGCACAGCTGGACACTAGTGCGGAGCGTAGTGAGTCGGAGTCTCGTTCTCCCTCGCCTGTTTGCGCTGTTCGCACTGGTCGTCGTGTTCCGCGTCCGCGTCCTCCTCCTGTCCCTGGCACTCACACTATGGCACTGCGTCCTTCCTCTGTTCCTCTGCGTGTTCCCCTGCCCTCTCCTCATGCGTCCTCTCTTCCTAACGTGTCTGACCCACCGTCTGACTTGCTTCGTGCTGCAAGTCCTACTGTCACACGTCTTCTAGCTACTGCTGTCACTGACCCTTCGTTTGAGTCCTCTGCTGCGTCTGCCCTAGTTGCTGAGCTTGTTGACTTTGCTGCCGCCTGTCGTCTAGACTACGCCGCTAGTCTTGTTGCTGAGTCTGGGTCTGTCTGTCCTCCGTCCGTCGGGGGTGAGTGTGCTCTTGGCACGGACGTCCTTGAGGGCAGGCAGGAGGACTTTGAGTGTTTTGCAGCTGCTGTACCTCATCTCGTGTCCATGCTGATTGCACCTGAGGGAGACCCGGATGCACCAGACATCCCGACCCCGCGCTCTTACGCAGAGGCGATTGAGGGTCCCTACTCCTCTTAGTGGCAGACAGCCATGGACGCAGAGATGGCATCCTGGAAGTCCACAGGCACTTACGTCGACGAGGTTCCCCCACCTGGGGCGAACATCGTCAGTGGCATGTGGATTTTCAGGGTGAAGCGGCCGCCGGGTTCTCCGCCTGTCTTCAAGGCGCGTTACGTTGCACGAGGCTTCAGTCAGCGACAGGGAGTTGACTTCTTCCATACCTTCTCCCCTACCCCGAAGATGACCACTCTTCGGGTTCTGCTGCACGTCGCCGCTCAGCGTGACTACGAGGTTCACTCTCTTGACTTCAGCACTGCTTTCCTACAGGGCAGCCTTCACGAGGAGATCTGGCTGCGCCGCCCACCTGGCTTCACTGGGTCGTTTCCTGCAGGTACCCAGTGGAGCCTCTGGCGGCCAGTCTACGGTCTCCGCCAGGCGCCTCGCGAGTGGCACGACACACTGAGGACGACGCTTGCGGCTCTTGGGTTTGCTCCTTCGACTTCTGACCCGTCGCTGTTTCTACGCACCGACACTTTGCTGCCGCCGTTCTACATCCTCGTGTACGTCGACAACTTGGTCTTTGCCACTGCTGACACTGCCGGACTGGCCCACGTGAAGTCGGAGCTGCAGAAGAGACACACGTGCACAGACCTGGGTGAGTTGCGCAGCTATCTTGGCTTGCAGATCACCCGGGACATAGCACGGCGCACCATTACCTTGACTCAGTCACACATGGTGCAGCAGGTCCTTCAGCGCTTCGGCTTCGAGTACTCCTCGCCACAGGCCACTCCTCTGCCTATCGGTCACTCGCTCTCAGCTCTGCCTTCGGATGAGTCCGTAGAGCCGAGTGGCCCGTATACATAGCTTGTGGGCTGCCTCATGTACCTGATGACCTGCACTCGACCTGACCTTGCTTACCCTCTTAGCATCCTGGCTCGCTACGTTGCGCCCGGGAGACACCGACCAGAGCACTGGAAGGCCGCTAAGAGGGTGATGCACTACGTCGGGCATGGGGCTCGTGCTTGGAGGACGGGCTCGAGTTGTCCTCACTGGTCACGCAGACGCTTCTTGGGTTGACGACTTGGCTACGCAGCGGTCGTCACAGGGTTACACTTTCAGCCTTGGCTCTGGCTCTGTTTCTTGGCGCTCTACCCGCTCGTCTTCTGTTCTCAGCTTCTGTTGTGAGGCTGAGATCTACGCAGGGGCCATAGCTGCACAGGAGTTACGCTGGCTCACCTACCTGCTGACCGACTTGGGAGAGCCGCCTCGTTCTCCTCCAGTTCTGTACGTCGACAACAAGGCCATGATTGCCTTGTGTCAGGAGCACAGACTGGAGCACAGAACGAAGCACATCGCTCTGCGCTACTTCCTTGCTCGAGAGTTGCAGCAGCGTGGTCAGCTTCGTCTTGTTTACGTGGCCTCTGAGGCCAACACTGCTGATATCTTCACCAAGGCACTTCAGCCTTGTGATCATCAGCGTTTCTGTACTGTTCTAGGCCTTGTGCCTACTTGGCCTCACTTGCTCACTTCTTGACTTTGTTTGTACTGTGATCTATATACATATACCTGCATGCTTACACTTGCTAGGTTGTGATCACTGTACTGCTTGTTCTCCTTTATATAACTCTGCGTGTGAACTGGCCTTGTGGCCATTTGCTTGTGCTCAGAATGCGTGGTGACTTCGTGATCCACCCTGAGCTTGACCTTGCTTCGTTCTCTTGCTTGTCCCCCACTTTGCCTATGGGGGTGTGTCAGAACTATGCATTTATATACTCTAGGCTGTAGTGGGGCATTCCTTATGGGTACAGCCCAATAAGGTTTTGCTATACAAACCCTGTACTGCTGTCATTCTAGTCATCCTTCATTCCTACTTTCTGTCACAACCATGGTGATTTTACTTGTAATTCCAGGCAGTTTTTTTTTTTTTTTTTTTTTTTTTTTTTTTTTTTAACTTCGGCAGTTTTCTCACAGATGCCTTGTAGTACCGTCAAAAAATTTTGCGGTCTTGGTACCCGGTTCTCAAAAGTTGTCACTGTAGTTACCGTTGGATCTATCCCGTAAATTTTGACGTAAACTTTGGGTCCTTGTTGATGACGCTCGCTGGCAGGATACCGTTGTGGCAGATGGCGGTTGTGATGAAGAGACAAGGCGTTTCTTCGACTGTTATTGTGGTGCGATATGGTGCGAAGTGCACCATTTTCGTGAGTCGATCGACAAGGACGAGCACTGCGTTGTCGCTGGACGCGCTAGCTGGTTGCCAAGTGATCAAATCTACCGTCACATGTTGCGGTAGAGATTTGGATGGCTCGAAGGGTTGCTGCAGACCCGCCGGGCGTTGGCATGTCGATTTTATTGCCAAGCACACTCTGCATATAGTTACGTAATGCTATACGCCAGAGTTAGAATCGTGCCAATAATACTGACGGTTATTTTATAATATATATATATATCAAACATGGTATCGAGCTCCACCACATGTACACCACCGTTACTGAGCCCCAACCTTGTATTTTCTCGTTACTAACTACCCGTTGTTTGAGTATATTACTTCACGCGACATCTTACTCAAAATTTGATATGTTGTGAAATACCATAATTGCCATACGCCTCGATAATAGCATGAACTTCTATGTGACCATCGCAATCAGACCCTCAAATCTAAGTTTTTAAATACTAATTCATAAAACATTCGCAGCCTTTTATTTTTACGACTGATTATCCTGCATTTTTTTGCAAAGCTTTAATATAAAACGTTTTTTTTTCACCCAAATTTGGCTGATGACTCAGCTGCCAGCCTAACCCAGAACCAATCTAGAGGCTTGATCTCAATTTTTAGATACTTTCCAGCCTACTCCATGCGACCATGAAAACCCCCACGGAAATAGTAATCTAAACTGGTAAGAGAAATTACCCTGCTACCGTGGGCCTTTTTGGCGTTGTTCTCTCGGGCAAGGGAAATTACAATGTCATATCAGAGTGCATGCGTCGAAAAATGGCATGTGGCCTGATTTGGTGCGCTGGCAAATAGCGAGCAAGTGCCAGCAGGCTCGGCTTCATAGGCACGCCTGCATGTCCACGTAGGGAGTATCGTCACATGTCATTGGGGTTCGTTGCGGTTTGGTTGAGCCCAAGCCTATCAACTGCTGAAGTCTGGGTTCTGGTTCACAACGGTGACCCCTGCTTGGGGGAACGGTAACTTGAGGAGGTCGGGTAGAGGGCAAATTGACTCACTGCTCAATTGCGCCGAGCCCCTTCGCAAAACTGCCCCAATGAGCGAAAGTTTGTTGTACCTGAACAGAAACCAGTTATTAGGCTCGGTCGTTCGGTTTGGCTGAGGTGTGGAGACACCTTATGCTGAGCCGTGGGATGATATTGTGTTGCTTGCTGCCAGGGAACAAGCTTCATTCACTCCATGAAGGTCAGCTGGAAGGAGGGTGAAAGCAAGGCTCTTCCTAAGGCTGCCTTCCACAAGTCAGTATGAGCATCCTTAGCACTCTCTGGGACGAGGTTCTCGGAGGTCCGAAGCCAGAGAAGTGCCAGGATAGACTCGGGGCTCTGAACATTCCTCAGTCGCCGTCGAATTCTGTGGACTTGACTGGCAGTCCTGTGAATTCACCGAAGCCATCATGGGAAGGTGAGGAAGGTTTAAACTCCACGGTCCAAGGTTTAATGTCGGACTCCACTAGTTTCACTTATCCTTGAACAGCTGCTAACTTCGAAAAATAGTGTGTGGTGGACTTCCCTCGCGCTTTCCAGATGACTTCGAAAAGCGGCGAAGGAGCGTGGAGTGTGGAAGAGTCTCTTCCCAACCGATGAATATTATTGGCGCAGTAAAGGTGACGAGGAAGGACCGGCATCTGGAAACATCGCATTCTCTTCCCGCCACTTTTAAGCGGGACTACAAGCTGCCTTCGCGGTTTGGAAGTGGTAGGTTAATTTTCAGTTTCATTTGAATGTCTTCAGCGTCGTCAGCAATGTAACCTGTGTTTTTTCCACTTTGTTTAGGCTCCAGGGATTTCGTATCTCCTGCTCAGCCACCACACACGGCGGGTTCGGAACCTGATACCGCAGTTTATGCTTGGTACAACCCCCTACCGTGAGGTAAAGTCATGGCGGTTTTTCCTTCCTCTTTTCTTCTTCGTCTTTGTTCGGTTGATTAATCTAAAGCTCACGTGTGTTCATTTTTCGTGCAGGATCTCAGGCCATCATACAACATAAGGCTCCGCTGCCTTATATCGTGTACATCTTTGTAAAGACGAAAATATTGACCAAAGGCTTTCGTAAAAGCTGCTGGAAGCAATTTGTAGCCACATACGGTACTGACACAGCGTTTGCTTTGGTATTTCTTTCATTTGTGTTGAAGGGTTTTGCTGTTGGCAAAAGCCATATGTGTGTGGATCTGTCTAGTATTGAGAAAGCTTGTTTTGAATTGTCAACTCAGTATTTCAGTGTGGATCAGGGCGTCAGAAGTCTTCAGCGTGTTTGTTTTACATGCTCTGAAGTTTCTCTTAGAATCGAAGTAGTTAGAAAGGTGATTATTATTACGGTAAGGAGGAGGAGGATCACCAGGAGTGTAGAGAGTTTCACATGTAGCCCCTAAGATCCAACTCACTACAGCCTACCTGTTACGGGTGCAATGAAACGAGGTAGCTAGGATCAGGGCTTCAGATTGGTTTTGGGCTAGTCTGAAAAATCAGAGTTGGTACAAATTTTAATGCTGAAAATCTGATTTTTTTTTTTAACCTAAATCAGCCTTTTTTACCAAAAGTTTGTACCAACTTTTTACCTTTTTACAATCTGATTTCGGCAAATCAGCCCTTTTTACCTAAATCAGCCTTTTTTCGCTGAAATCTGAGGCCCTGGCGAGGATTGCACTATGTGGGTCAAAAGTACAACGAAGACATGAGCGAATACTTATGTGCGAAAACATGAAACGGTTACGCGGTGCGTGCGAGCTACCGTATCACCCCGGATATAGGCGCCGTCCGATTATAGGCGCCGGCGCCTCTATCTGGAGCATGGCGCTTATGGCCGGAACTCGATGATAAGAGCACCCCCTGTTGTTCCTGTCCTTATTATAAGCGCATCCCGTAGGGCATGTAACGCATGTTCCTACGGCCCCTTATCAGGCCAGCCTCTTATCAGACTCGCGTCAAAACACACTGAAATTTCCCTAAACCCAAAAACCTTCGCGAATTTTACCAAGCAAGCCTGACAAGAGGTTTGCCTGATAAGAGCGTAGGAACATGCCCTTAAACTTTAATTGGAGGCATTACAAAGAAATCACTAAAACGTCACATTTTCTTAGCAACTACAACATCAGATTATGCTAGATCTACTAACAACAAGTTTAACCGGGGTACTTCTGCCTAACAAGGATCATCCAGTACCCCTGCTACTCCTCCTCGTCAGATTCGGGCTCCTGGCAGTTGTTGCAAAAAAATCCATCAGCGACGATGTCATCGTCGACATCCACTTCCGCTGTCACCTGGCTCCACCTGTGCGCCATGGCGAGTCCGTCCTCACTGCCGTCAAGCGTGTTTCGGCATGGTCTTGCGCTTGAAGAACACCCACGGCTTGAGCTTCAGTCCGTCCGCCGTGCACGCCAACATCACGGTCACTCGCTGCTTCTGATACCCCGCGCTCCTGATAGGCATTGAGCGAACACCCGTTTCCTCCACGGTGGTGGTGGCGGGCATCTCCAGCCAGAGCGGCGTCTGGTCCGCGTTGATGATCCATCGGTGTCGATGCCGCGCTCGCGACGCTTGGCACGGACGAACTGCCATAAGCTCTTGCACTGCTCAGCGACATCTGTACGGCGGTGGAAGAGAGGATGGACACAGACAGAGGGTGTTAATACAAAAAAACATAAAAAGTGGCAAAGTACACTGGGTAATTCTTACGCGCGGCGGTTTTCTGGGCAACCCTTGTCTTCATGCGCACGCTCAGATTCCATCGCCGCCGAAAGCGCTCCGACCACCTCTGCCTTCCTTTCCAGTCCACGTCGGGGTACAGAAGCTTCATGAACTCCCGCGACCACTCCTGCAGGCGGCCGATGGACACAGCGGTTCCCTTGCGGCGCCAGTCGAGGAGCTTCCCGTACACCTTCAGCTCCATCGGCCGGTACCACGACGCTCGCCCGCGGCCGTGCATGCGCTTCCGAGTTGAGTGAACGTCCTTGAGGAATTCCGCCGCCCGCTTCCAGTTGGTGAGGCATTTGCGGTGGATTCCTCTCTCGCGAGCCAAGGCGCGCACCGACACCGCCACATCAAGCAGCGCAACCCACTTCAACTTCTCCGCGGTGGTATAACCCTGACGCTTGTGGTCGGCGACCTTGTGCCTGGGAGAGGGGGGGTGGGCATCACGGTTCTGTGAAGAGGGGTGGGGTCGCTTGCGATTAATCGGAGGATAGGATGGTATGGGCAGTTTCTCGGGTAGCCCGTCGCGTGACCAGTACTCCACGCCGTCGTCGTCATCGTCGCCCGTAACACCTTATGGAAACACATCCTCAGCGGTGCCGCCTTCGGCGGTAGCCTCCGTGCCACCCTCGGTGCCGTCAGCCCCACTCGCTTCCTCAGCGTCAGCCACATCGTCGTCGGCGCCGACTGCAGATTCGTCCCAAGGGCAATCGTCGGGCTGTCCCCAACGTGCTGCCGGCGCGTACTCCACGTCCACGTACTCATCTTGCGCCTTGTTAGACTCCGGTTCGGAGAGGTATTCGTCAAAAGCCGATGGGAGCAGCAGTGTGAGCATGGGCTGATTGCCAGTGTGTTGCGGAGACACCGGACCCTGAGTAAACGGAGGAACAGGAGGAACAGGAGGCGTAGGAGGTGCAGGAGGTGAAGGAGGAGCAGGAGGCGCAGGAGGCTGTGGTGGCTCTGGTGGTTCTGGTGGGATACGGGAGTACCACCCGTCAGCGTCCACTCTAAACGCGGGCCTTCGCGTAGGTTTTTTCTTGAACAAGAAGTGTGTGCCGCTGAATTTGGCCATGGCTTCCGCAGCCAGGCGGGAGTGACCAAGAAACTGAACGAGAAACTGAGAGAACGGGAGAACAAATGAGAGATTCAAAGGGACCCCTTCTGGTTAGCGCCTCGGGGTCCTCGTCGGGGAGAGACGGGTACCCCCTGTCTGAACCCGGAGAGGAGGGTATCGCGGCACGAACATGCTGCGCTGGCAGGGCATTCGAGCCTCTTCTCGATGGTTCGGGTGAAATGCAGCTGCCTGCCAGCGCATGCAAGCCTGATTGGGCCGCATGGCAACTTTCACGTCAGCGCTGGCAGGTGCGCTGCTCCTGGACGGGCTTTGTGCGGTCGGAAATCGAAGCGCGGCAGTTTTCGGCGGGATTTCATGCATGATCCCACGCGCACGTTACACAATTGTGTTCGCCTTATTACGGGCTTCGATTTGGTACATATAAATAATAAATTCGTTTTTGCCATTATATAAGCGCCGGCGCTTATGGCCGTTACTCAATTACAAGCGCCGCCCCTGAAAAATTTGAATTTATTATAAGCGCATATGCGCCTATATCCGGGGTAATACGGTATCTAGTGTTAGGCTGGCATCGAGATTCGGGCTAGTCCCGAAGCGTGGGCCGACTCGGCCAGGCCAGTAGTGCAAGGTTTGGTAAAACAGTGCGCGCGAAGTTGGCGAAGCCCCGTTAGCAGTAACGAGCAAACAACGGCTGCTGCTGTACGCGATGTTGAAGAACGCGGTAAGGAATGCTGAAAATTTCCTTACACTACCCCCCCCCCCCCCCCCCTCTCAAGAAGCCCCTTCGTTACGCGAGTGCGTGTATATCGCAGAAACCACGGCTCCTCAGGTACACTTGCAGGGCAGGGTGGTTTTCGATGTTGGCCAGGGGCACCCAGCTATCCTCGGTTGGCGTGCGGTCCTTCCAGCGAACGAGGAACTCGATCCTCTTGATGCCTGTGGGGTGTCGAATCCAATGGCTCAATATTTTATCGGGCTCAATGATCGGCTCCGATGCAGGGCGAGTCATGGATGGCGGGCGGTGACGAGGCAGTTGACTTGTGGTTGGGATGTAAGGGCAAAGCAGGCTGACGTGGAATGATGGGCCGATGTACCAGCCTGTCGGCAACAGTAAATGGGCGGTAACTGGGGTGATCATGTGGCTGATTTGGAACGGTCCACAGTATCGCGGTCGAAGTTTCGGTACGACGTGCAGTCTTAAATTCGGTGTGTCGAGCAGTACGTAGTCTCCTGACCGCAGGGCCTCTGATATTAGGGTAAAATACCCTAATTACCCTGATTTCAGGGTTGACATACCACCCTTGCCCTGAAGAATCAGGGTCTCTGTACTTAAAGCCCTGAGATTTCAGGATGTCTGTTCATATCACCCTGAGATTTCAGAGTAGTGTACACCTGCCTGCCCTGAGGCGTCAGGGTGCTTGTATGGCGTACCCTGAAACAGTTACACTGTGCGCCTAGGGGGGCCCTTGTGTGAATTCCTTGATTTCCGATATTTCGCGCCGGAAACACGCGAGTCGCCCACCACCACTCACATTGACGACAAAATTGCCCACATGGGGCAACTTACAGCGATGCAGCAGGAGTGACTGCCCGTTACCGTACCCCTCTCACACCCACCACTACCACTTACCCATTTGCACGAACTCAAACGTCTGCTGCTGCATGTCCCTAGTTGACCAATCGTAGCTGCATGTTAGTCAATTTCCCACGTGTAGGCTCTGTGCGCTGGCATTGCCCTAGGCGTCCGCCACCTCCCATCACCCCACCCATCTCAAGCCAGTGCATGTTGGTGGCACCTGGCCACCTCGTTCACCCTTCCATCTGTTCATTACGTCTCTTTGCTCGGCAGGCTCTGCAGTGGTAGCAAACACTATGCTCTGCTCTGGGGAGTCTGCACTCAATACCACTCGTTCGCAATGGCGGAGTCTAGCCCG